AGTAACTAACTACTATATACATCCATACAAAATAATAACTATGACCACTCTATGTTCTAATATGTACACTTTGGTCCTAACTAATTGGATAAACAAACTAACTAGTCCAAGTCTCATTACAAGTAACTTCCAATAGACTCAAATTAAGAGTTTCTCAAATTTGAGAGATTAGGAATCCTCCCAAAAGTGATCATATTCAAGAAGCCATGGATAATATGAATTTTCATATTATCTGCCAGTTAATACATTGTTTATCTATATGAAATATGGATCGAATTGAATATTTTTTCCGTTTTTACATTATCCGTTTTCGCTCGGCCGCCCATATCCAACCAGACCCACCCGTTTGTCACCCCTCATTATACGTAAGGAGAGCAATGAAATTATTTAACTCTATCAATTCAAATACATAGTTTTATCATATATTTTGTGAAAATAGCATGAGCTAGGGGTGTACAAACCGAACCAAAAAATCGCACCAAACCGAAAAGTCAAATCAAAGCGATTAAAAAACCCGATTAAGTTTGGTTTAATTTGGTATGGTATTGAGTAAAAAAATCCGAACCAACCCGACATATAAATATATCATTTTTTTATATACTTTTAAGATTTTATATAGAATTTTCTTTAAAAAAATGTCTAGAAATATTTGCGATTCTCTTACGGGATACAATATTAATAGAATATGAAGTGCTCCATATTTATCAACCTTAAATAATAGGTTGTATGATTACTTTCTTATCAAGTGTTACTAAAATGCATCAATCTCCCGAGTTCGCTTCTCACTCTTGATTGTCACCTTGGTGCGTTTAAATACCAGTCCTTGAGGAATATCGATCCCCAGAACGATCATGTGAATCACATGCTGTGGCTCTTCCTGCTCGTTCTGTCTATTTGAATCTCTGTTTTTGAAGTGGTTCTTGGCTCAATCACTTAAGAATTCTCGAAGGTGGCCCTCGTTGAATAAACGAGCTACCTCCTCCCTTAGATGTCTGCAATCTTCGGTTTTGTGACCAAGGGTACCATGGTATTTTCATATTTGATTAGGGTTCCTTTGAGATGGGTCAGTCTGTAGGGGCCTGGGCCATCTAGTATCCTTGATACGTCCAATGACTGATACAATACCTGATGCATCGGTGCTGAAGTTGTATTCTGATAGTCGCGGTGCTTCCGGGGCGTTAAACATGTTTATCGAAGCCACTTTTACTCATGAGCCCTCGGAAGCTCTGCCCTCGATCATTCCTTCGATCATTTTGAACGGGATTACGTCCTGGGCTGATGTTTCTACGATCTGCGCTATATGGTTGGTACCGATCTCTATTCGATCGGGGTTCTCTATCGATGTCCCTTTGAATTCTGCCGACGGGCCTATTTGGATAAACGGAACCGGAAGCGGTTCCCAATTGATCATCCTCGACCCTGATCTTCGAGTGGTATCAATTATGTACATCGGCCCAGGTTATAGCAGGATATTCAATTAAATTCTGCTTTGGTTGTCGTGATGCTATCGAACTTCGTTCGTTCAAACCTTGAGTAAAAGCTTGAACTGCCCAATCATCTGTGACTGGGGGTAGGTCCATGCATTCCATCTGAAACCGAGATATGAATTCCCTTAGCATTTCGTTGTCCTTTTGTCTCACTTTGAAGAGGATTGACTTCCTAGTCGCAACCTTTATTGCTCTGGCGTGTGCCTTTACGAATGAATCTACAAGCATGGTGAAGGAATCGATGGAGTTGGGCGGCAAATTGTGGTACCATCATTGCCCCTTTCGATAAAGTCTCTCCATTTTTTCAATAGAACGGATTCAATCTCATCGTCTTCTAAGTCATTTCCCTTTATTACGCATGTATAAGAAGTAACATGCTCATTAGGGTCAGTGGTCCCATTGTATTTGGAAATTTCTGGCATGCGGAATTTTTTTGGGATGGGCTTCGGAGCCGCACTTGGAGGGAAAGGCTTCTGCACGAACTTCTTCGAATCCAAACCCTTTAGAATTGGTGGTGCCCCCGGTATTTGGTCAACCCGGGAGTTGTATGTTTCTAACTTTTTATCATTTGCCTCGATTTTCTTTTCTCCTGATTCAATCCGTTTAGTGAGCTCCTCAAGCATCTTCATAATGGCGGGGTCAGTCCCCGATTCATTGGTGTTAAATCTCTCGGGTACAGGTTCGGCTCTATGAACAACTTCTTGTGATGTTTCGAGCTCAATTCTGCTTGGTGCTCGATTCTGATTTTGGAATTGCGCTATCGCAGCTTGTTGAGTCTACAACATCTCGAATATCATTCGGAGGCTAATTACGTCTTCTTCACCGCTCTGTGCGTTCTGATCGGCTGTTCGAGCATCTCTGCGGATGCTATTTTTAGGGTCGACGCCCATACTCCCATTAATGGCAATATGGGAGCTAATATAGACTGGGTCTATGACCGGCGGTCTGTCGGGGTTGACTGGAGGTACTCCGTTTTCCGGGGCGACTATGTCTTCGTTCTCGCCATGAAGACCAAGGCCGTTGTCTGTGTGAGTGGGTGCTACTTGAGAGTTTGACATGTTGATTCCTGAAATCAAAGACAATTACGAGAACAAGGGTAAAGCAGTGTGTGTTATGAGAATTAATACCAGGCAATCACTATTATCCTTAACCCCACAGTGGGCGCCAAACTGTTTACCCTTAAAATTGGATAAGAATTAAACTTATAATTTGGTTTTAAGGACACGTGTTCACCTAATACCAATTGATAAATATGAAGATTAGTAGTAGAAATTAAAAATAAGATAAAGCAAACCAGCGTTGTAACGTAATTCAGCCCTCGAGTTAGAGTTCCCTCGAACTAGTTAATGCCAAAACAGTTAAGAAATAAGCAAGCTAATGAACAAGAATATAAGCTGGAGAGGAAATGTTATATTGCTTATGTGTGAACAATGTGTCTTACAAATAATTGGAACCCTCTTTATATAGTAGAGGAATCCTATATATGGTACAATTCTACTTATAGAAGTAAATCCCATGATTAACTCAACAACCGCCCTTGGTTTGATCTGTTTTGAGATTTCCGCCATGATCTTCGACCAGTCACAGATATCTCGCCTTTCCGTTATTATGTTGTCCTCGGTCTCACTCGATGTCTGTCCTGCTCAACTTCGATCATTATCGGTTTCGATCTTGCTCGGTACCTCGAATCCAAACTCGGTATCTTATCTTCGTGTCACGGTCAGATACGCTTCGAGGCTCATCCTCGATTCATCTTCCTGATCTCCGTCAATTAGCGAAATCGAGTTGACCCGATTTCAACCGTATACGAATCTTTTACAAACTACTGATAATCATAATTTGTTTTAAAGTTACTCAACAAAATTTGTTACTCATCTTAGGTTTCCTGAAGCTGTTGAGTCTAGTTTAGAGGAAGAGGAAAGAAGAGAAGTGCAAACATTGGATCGTCGAGAAGTAAGACCAATGTTCATCAATTTTAGGAACTTACGCTTATTACACACTTAAATAGTTTCTACTTTATGATCCATCATATATTATTAAAATATGTATAAATATTTTTCACAACTTGATGTACATATTTAAAACAATTTTAGCATACAATAATTTCATGGGTTTGAAAAAATTAAAAGTCATATATCGATCAAGATAATTAAGTTTGGTTCTTGAACAGAACATTCAACATTCAGTCCGGAACAGAATTTTTAAGCATTTTGATATTTATGTCGTCAGCCAACTTAAAGAAAGTGGCTAAAACATTAATATCTATTCGAATACTTCCACTTACCAAAAAATTAATCATGTGGGAGCCTCTTTAATCCATTTCGTTTGCAGAATCGTTTAAAAAGCAAATCCCCTCTACAACAATTAAAAGTCTTTAAGTGCTAATTTTATTGAACTTTTTTAAACAGATGTGGCGAACATGAAGGGCTCCATATAGTAATTCTGATATTCTATAACCAATACATTTAATTAAAAAGCATATTACGCCAGCGAATGTATGAAGTTAGTGATGATTTCTTTTTAAAAGGTAGAATTTGTTCACTATGAAATGAAAGTAGTTCTTCTTTTAGTTTTTTTAAAACGATTTAAAATCATATACGAATAGAAAATTATAAGAACTGAAGTAAAAGAATTGCAAATATTTTTATATTCTACAAATTTAATTAAAGTTAGATGCATCACCCATCGTATAAGGCAGCGGCGGCACTCAAACTCATTGTGTTTAGTATAATTAAAAAAATAGTCTTCTGACTGATATTTTATGTTCCCTTGGGGGCTCGACTAATCTAGATCCGGGTCAGAAAATCTTACTTCGGATATAAAATGCTCCCTATCAAAGATAATATTATTCTCAGGACTCGAACTCGTGACCTATAATTAAGGAGGAAGAAGCATGAAAAATATTTATCACCTATCACAATCTTTCGTGATAAAAAATTGTAATTATTTATCAAAGTAAATAGTAACTTGTAGTAAAATTTCACATTTATTGACATAAAAAAATTCTAATACTATCCCCAAGCTTAGATATGTATGAGACAATGATATTTCGTAAAGCAAAATAATGATACGATATCTATTGAGAGATCTACTTGGTGGTTGCTTTACCCCACCAGTGACATTGTTTATTCACCTCTTTGCTCAAATGATAGCAGCCTACGCACAACCAATGACGAAATCAGAAAATTCAATTAGGATGTTCAAATTTATCAGTGGGCTATACAAGAGTGTTCAACGTTTATTTTTAATCAATAATAATGTAATATTTTACCTTATACGTAGTATAATTTTTCGGCGACTTCGGCCCTGCGCACAACCTTAGTGTATTTTTCCCCGTGTACCACTATGAATGATTAATATAGTGGAGGTGTTGAGATTGAATTAGAGAGGATAGTAATTTTTTTCTTAAACTTCTTTTTTCTCCTCCTACCCCCCCCCCCCCCCCCCCCAAAACTCCCTACACTGATTGTCTGGTATAAATATATATGTAACATCTCTACACTTCTCAAGCTAAGCGAAAATCAGTTGTTACAATCCATCTAAAGTTTCCCTTTCACTTTCTCATTCCCTTTCATATATCCCGAGAAAATTGAAAAATAATCAGAAAAAAAAGAAATGCGAACTGTGAGTACCTTCACTGCTTCTTCACCAATTTCACCGCCGACGGTCGTTCAAAGATCGCCGTGGCATTCTCCGGCCCCGTACCTCTTTGCCGGCGTAGCAGCCATGCTACTGTTGATAACTTTTGCTCTTGTAATCTTAGCTTGTTCTTACTGGAAAAACTCCTCCGGCTACCCAAGAGAAAATGGTAATGATGATGATCAGTCTCAAAGTGATATTGAAGCCGGCGCCGGCGAGAAATCTGCCGCCGATATGTTAAAGGTTTTGCCGGTTTTTGAAGAGAAAATTGTAGTGATAATGGCTGGAGATTTAAACCCAACTTTCTTGGCTACGCCTGTATCAAGCAGAAGTAATTCTTTTGGTGGTGGAGATAAATGTGAGCAGAATTTTGAAAAGGAGAGTGAAGAATTAGCTGATGAGAAGCTGAAAGAACAAGCAATCACAACGGAAGTTAGGGATGATCAAGCCCATGACGAATCCCAAGACAGCCATAGACAAAGCCACTGAGCTCAAAAACAGAGGGTTTTCCTCTTTTTTTTTTTCTTTTTTATGATTTTAGATTTTGGTTTATTTTTCAATTTTGACATCCGGGAAATTGTATTTTTGGCTGAGTTAAGAAGAGTGAGAGGAAATTCTCATTTTTTCAGTAATCCGTATTTTGGAATTTATTGGAATTTTAGAGTTTTCCACATTTGATTGAGCAAATGACCTAATGAATAACACTCTCGGACCTTTTCTTGAGTTAAAAAATTAATATATTGATTTATGTTTTGGGGAATATTTTTAAAAAGATCTTAAGCAAATATGTTTTCTGGTGAAGTTTTTCCAAAACTTAAATCTTTTCAGAAACAATTGCGCAACATTTTTAGATTAAAAAGAAAGATATCAATTTTATTATATTATCTGGATTACCTTTATTAATTTAGCAAATTGTAATATACTGCATTTTAATCCTCCATCATAGAGAAGAATAAAGTGAAGAGAAGTGATTAGGAGTCTATATTCGATTTAATGTGGGTTTTAATTGCGTTTGGCCCGTAAGAAAAACAAAGATGGTGGGAACCATAATGATTAATTGGAAAAAGAACAATAAAACTAAAATAGTTGGTGTGATGTTAGTAGTGGCGCAAACAATATCGTTTTCTCCTAGGGCATAAGCTGATGCTTGTTTTTATAAGAAAACTAGTGAAACTATTCGCGTTCTGTGCGGTTATACAAAATATCAGTAAATCATACTTTATTCCATGTAAATTGTTTCGATAATTTAAATAACTAAAAATATTATAACCCCCAAAAGAGTAAGATATATGTAAACTTACGATTTTTTATTGCTTAAAGAAGGACAATACAAGATAGATGTGGCATCTCTATTTTCCCTACAAACTCAATTACCATTTTTGTCAAGCCTTTGGACTATATATATATTGTTTGAATTGAACAATAATGAGTAAAATATACAAAGTTTGTATATCTAAAACCTCCAGTTGGTGATGCCGGAGGTGACTCTCTTTGGCCAATTTTTTTTTTTTTTTTTTTTTTTTTTTTTTTTTTTGTATATTCATTGGTCATAACACTATCAGTACACCTTGATGTTTTCTCGAGGTTGCTTGTTCTTTCTCAAATATTTAGACTTCTTTTTTGAATTATAATGTGTATTATCAAGCACAAAACTTTCATAATCTACGATGCACTTGTTGGGTTTTTAAGGTATTTAATTAATATATTAAATACTTAAAAGAGGGTGAATGGGAAATGGAGGGAAATGAAATTTTTGAGTGAAATTTTAAGTTCCCCCTCCCTTGGCAAATGGGCATTGTCCCATATTGGAAGAGGAAGAGGTTTTTTATGGGTATATAAGCAATTGCTCTTCTTCTAGCTCTTAAAGAGTTGAGAAGAAGGCAAGCCTCGCGCCGTCGTCGTCGTCGCTCGCTCGGCTCGGCTTCGGCTTCGGCTACGGCTACGGCTTCGGCTTCGGATTCGGATTCGGATTCGGATTCGGCTTCGGTCAAATGATTGATTGATTAACTTTTTGGACCAAATTTATTTGTTAATAGTAAAATATTAACAGAAATATTATCAAATATTTGGTTTAATAACAAAATATTAATATTAAATATTAATATTAAATCCAATCCGTTTTTCTGTTTTGGTAACAGAAAAGTAACTACCCTCTTCAATTTTTCCTCTTTATTTTCCCTCTTTATTATTGAGTAAATGGCCATTTATGTAATGGCATTTATATTGTGGGCGTTTTGCATAAACAGCCATTCTGAAGAGACCCAACTTTGGCTATATATACTACACTATTCTGCTCAGAATTTTAACTACAATTTTCTGAGTTTCCTCTCCTTCTTCTGCATACTTTTAGCATCAAAACAAAGCAAAAAGTAAGTGTGATTTGCTACCGAACTTTGTGTTCGCTGAAACACTGGGGTTTGAAGTACCACTACACCAGTGTGTAATTCGTTCTATCCTGGGAGGAAATAATCCATAACCTTGGGTACTAGGAGGGGATTAAATTCCTTAAGGAAACACTGTGAATTCAGTGGGCTCGAATTGGTTTATGTCATTTCTGTTTATATTCATTACTGTTTATATTCATTTATATTTCCAGAATTTATTTTACAAATACAGTGTAATAACAAGTAACAGCACTTGCATGTAAGTAATACTATTGGTGGCTAACGAAAGGTGCCAACACATTTCTTTTTCGACCAGTTTATATATATATAATATCGTGATATTACTCTTACAGTGAATAACCGCGGCTAAACCATAGCTCAAAAAATGTAAATTGTGCAAAAAAAATAGAAAGATGGCAATAGTATTAAGAGCAACAATATCAATATACGAAATTAGGCTTTCTTTATACAAAAGGACTTAGAGCGCATAAGCCAAAAAGAGAGCAGAAGCAATTGTCAGGAAAATTTGATTCTGAAAAAACTAACAATGGAAGAGATGAGGAAAGAAGTGATGTAAGAAACAGGACAATGGTATCACGAATCTTCACTTTATGAACAATAATATTGAGATTGAGGTAATTTCTCTTAAATATATATATATATATATATATTTCTGAATGTGAAAAATAAAAGGGATAAGTTTGAGATTTACGGTACTATCTTCTCCATCAAATACAATCCCATGGTCATCAAGCGCGAACCTGACGTATTAACACCTTGTTATAATAGGCATAAAATTAAAGAGAGAATAACTCTGATGGACCCAAACTTCATATTCAAAGAACTGCCATATACATAGCACATACTAAATCGCATTGAATTGTTAGCCTTCAAATAAAAGTTTCATAAACAATGAATGCATTTGAACTGAATAAAACATTCTTACCATTGTCATGCAAATACGTGTAGAAATATCATTACAAGAACTGAAAGGAGAAATAAAGGGTGGCGCTTGACTGCTTTTCACATTCTCGTCAGTGTTAAAGAAGCTAGCAAAAAATAAAACATCTGAAGCTGATTATGATGATTTCGTCTTAACTAATGCATAGCCACATAAAAGAAGAAGGATTAAAGATACTGTAGTCCCCTGCAAATTTAAAGAGAGGAAAAAAAAAGGAGAAAAGTACTGACATTTGTTTGTTGGTTTAAATATTAGATTTACGCTTTTGAAGACAATGTTTTAGCGGGGATGGAGGTTATATTTCAGAGCATAATTAATGAGAAGTTAATAGAGAAATAACTACTCAAAATGAATAGGAAGAGTTTCAAAAATAATTACTCAAATTTAATTGGAAGAGTTTCTTCTGTCAAGACGATCTATTAAAAACAAATAGGTATAGGAGTCAAAAAAAGAAGCTAAAAGATAAATACCAATCCTGGATGAAGAGAGGTGTCATGTCAACATTTTTTCCCTCCTTTATATATATACTTCATTACATAGATTAGACACCTTTTCTTCACAAACCATGTTTAGAAAAACAGGTTATTGGCAATCTAAATGTATGACTGTTAGATACTCATTATAAATGAAGTTGAATCAAATCTCAACGAAGGCAAGCGAGTGTAAGTGATTATTTCATATATCTAACTAAGTTTTGACGGATAGAGTATTAATATACGTGCCGATGTGAAATAATATGTACTTGATGAATTAGTTGAGGTGCATGCAAGTTGATCCCAAATATTACCATTATATCCTCAACAAATTGGTCTATAGGATGGACTAATGAAGTTGCATAAAGATTTTTTTGTTTGGACAAGTCAACCTGGTTCTAAGCTAAATCATCGAATAATTGCAAGTATATAAGTATTACTAAGGGGTCGTTTGGTACAAGGTATAATATCGGGATAGAATTTGAGATTGTATTTATTTCATATTTGGTTTTTGGACTTTCCAAATTGAATATTTCAATGTAACTCAAAAATTAAAAATATTTTCATTTACTATAGAAGTTCACAAAATAGTAAAAAGCAGTGGCCTTTTGATTTTTGTTTTGAGTTCGAGAAAATATAATTGAGTGGTAATTCACTAACACAGCTATTAGCTTATGTCTGACTTGCAGAATAAAGAAACAAAAGCAAAATATACGAATTTTCCTTTTTTCTTAGGCTCTTTGGCTTGCACAATGGAGGAGCAAAAATAATTTCCTTTGAGTTATTTCTTTTTGGTTTTGGAGAAAGAATAAAAGGTTATAGTATTTCTATCTTTTTTTTGGTAGCGAAGATATTTATTCAAGCAAACTTAAGAGTCATTACAAGCTGGAACTATTATAGGACACGAGATTCCTAGCTTTTCCTTTTCAAAAGTAGAAATAACAAAAGGTGGTGGAACAAAATACAACATAGGATTTTCAAAAACAGTTGAGCTGCTTCCGTTCTTGGCCATAAGATCGGCGACTCCATTTGCTTCCCTGAACACATGTCTAACCCGAAGGCTCCTCCACTCTAGTTAGCATCCATCTGCAATAATTTATGAAATTTTGGTAGAGGCAAGAGTTGTTAGTGAGCATGTTGATTAAATTATTGTAGCCTGTTTCAATTACTAATGGCGTAATGTTTGCCTGTTTCAATTACTAATGGCGTAATGTTTTTTGCAACGCTATCCTTAAACCATGCATGAGTGCTAAGCCTTCCATATAGATATTGGTTTCATGGGGTACAGACATGTTGAAGCCCAGGATCCAATTGCTATCATTATTCCTAAATACACCACCAATAATCCATTTCCCTGGATTGCCGATGCATGAGCCATCTATAGCTTGAATAACCCTATGTCTGGTGACTTTCTCTTTATGTAGATAGTCATCTTTGGGCATGACATCTTTTTAGAATCCGTTAGCATTTTGTATTCCATTGTGCTATTGATAATATGACCTAATTGGAGTGGATTTTTTTGTTGTTGAATATTATGCCATTCCTATGTAGCCAGATGTACCATAGGATGAAGGGAAAGACGCCAACCCTTCCCGTGTATCTATTGAATTTGGCTTTGGATTCGCATTGTAAGTTTACCTATTTGTGCATAGTGAAGTCATTGTGAGGTTGGTTTGGGTATTTGTAAGTATTACCCAGTTGATCCCAAATTGATTTTGAATGGAGACAATTAAAGAACATATGCTCCGGATCCTCTTTTTCAGACTTGCATATGCTACATAGACTAGATGCAATAATTTTTCTGTTAAAGAGCATTTTTGTTGTTGGGAGTCTGTTATGAACTACTGTCCTGAGGAATATTTTTATTTTATTAAGCGTGTTAAGCTTCCACAACCAAGTATAGTC